CCCCCTTTTTTAAAGAATTTCACAGTTCAGTGTTTTAAACCATATTCAGACATGTCCCACATTTTGTTAAAAGGGTTGCAAAAATGGCAAATCTCATGATCTCATGGCTTATATAATATGTTATTTGATTACCTGAGGTTGATCACTATTTTCGACTTCTAGGTTTTGTACCTTATTCATGGAAATTGTCATATCTTCATCATTTGATTCTGATGTGTACATAATCTTACTTTAGGGCTTAAACTTTCTCTCTGCAGAAATATCCCCAACCAAAAGGGCAAAAGAAAAAGAAGATTGTCAAGTATGGAATGGGCGGCATTATCATTCTTTTCCTCATTTGCATAATTTGGTTCCCACTACTCTTCATTTCACTAGTTAAATCTGTAGTGGGTGTGGTTAACCATCCTGTTGATGTCACTGTCACAGTCAAGCTTGGCGGTTATGAGGTAAAATACAATTGTAATATTTCTATGAGTGTTTAATACTTTGATCATTCGGGAGTTTACATTTGAGAATTGATTCATGTGTGTTCCTGCAGCCTTTATTCACAATGAGTGTGCAGCAGCAGTCCATCCAGCCTTTCACTGAGCAGGACTACAATCATCTTTCCAATCTGTTTGGAAAAAATGCTGTAAGTGGACATCAACAGTAATATCTCTTATTCTCACCCCCTTTTTTAAAGAATTTCACAGTTCAGTGTTTTAAACCATATTCAGACATGTCCCACATTTTGTTAAAAGGGTTGCAAAAATGGCAAATCTCATGATCTCATGGCTTATATAATATGTTATTTGATTACCTGAGGTTGATCACTATTTTCGACTTCTAGGTTTTGTACCTTATTCATGGAAATTGTCATATCTTCATCATTTGATTCTGATGTGTACATAATCTTACTTTAGGGCTTAAACTTTCTCTCTGCAGAAATATCCCCAACCAAAAGGTCAAAAGAAAAAGAAGATTGTCAAGTATGGAATGGGCGGCATTATCATTCTTTTCCTCATTTGCATAATTTGGTTCCCACTACTCTTCATTTCACTAGTTAAATCTGTAGTGGGTGTGGTTAACCATCCTGTTGATGTCACTGTCACAGTCAAGCTTGGCGGTTATGAGGTAAAATACAATTGTAATATTTCTATGAGTGTTTAATACTTTGATCATTCGGGAGTTTACATTTGAGAATTGATTCATGTGTGTTCCTGCAGCCTTTATTCACAATGAGTGTGCAGCAGCAGTCCATCCAGCCTTTCACTGAGCAGGACTACAATCATCTTTCCAATCTGTTTGGAAAAAATGCTGTAAGTGGACATCAACAGTAATATCTCTTATTCTCACATTAATATCACACTCAATAATAGCTGTTGCCCAGTGATACTGATAACAACAGGGTGTCTGAAATTATGTTATACAATTATATTATGTGCACAATACAATTTAATGACAGCAAATGAAACATACACAAAATTTCTGAAATTAAACCGTTCATTTTTAAAGCCGGTTGCTAAATGGGATGACAGAGGTTGTCGCGGCATTAAACATCATCATGTCAAAAAGGAAAACTCTTACGCTCACAAGTCTGCTTTTACAGCTTCATAGTGTTCAAAATCACACTCTTGCAAACTATTCTAACTCAAACTTTTAGGGAAACTCTTTCAGAAGTTGTTCGTGTTTAGCTGCTAATTCAAAAATGGCGGTCAAAAGTTTCTGTTCATCTTGTTGGTCACGGTAACCCTGCCCCCAGCCCCTGACGCACGCGGTTCTTACTTCTAGACACACAGTGTTTTGGTGCTACTTACAAACCACTTTTCCTGGTTTGGAGCTGGTGCTTTGGGTGTCGAAAGACAAAGAACCGATTGGAAATAAGCTCTGACTCCGAACCAGCACTCAAACTGCCTTGGTGGAAAAGGGGTAAGTAGGGGGAGTGAATGAACAACGTTCTCTTCCACCCTCAATACCACAACTGAGGTGCCCTTGAGCAAGGCACCGAACCCCACTGCTCCCTGGGCACCGCAGCAAAAATGGCTGCCCATTGCTCCAGGTGTGTGTGCATTACTTACTGCCGTGTGTGTGTGCACTTGGATGAGTGAAATGCAGAGCACAAATTCTGAGTATGGGACACCATACGCCACTTTCACTTCACTTTCATTATCATGATGAACAAAATTTGTAAGAATCATAAACTTTTGTTGGTCACAGCTTATTTTCTGCAATAATCCAAAAGCCAATGGAAATATCCTGCTGGGTTTTTGTTGAGGGAAAAAGGATATGACAACATTTGTACTTCATTGTAACTTTTTCTAGATATAACAGTCAGCTTGTCCATTAATGTCCAATATTAAAATGTGTCCACAGGTGGCTATGCAGTTTATTACCATGTACAGCTATGAAGATATTGTCACAGCCAACATTGAGGGCAGCTCAGGGTCAGTGTGGCGGATCAGCCCACCGAGCAGACAGGAGCTAATAAAGGAGCTGCTTGGTAGCACAGGTGACATGACCCTCCGTCTGGATTGGAACTTCCAAAGGTCAGTTTGATGGAGAAAGACAGTGGTTTTGAATTAAACTTGTTTCTGTTGAGAGTACAGGACCTCATGCTCATTATGTGTTTGTGTCTGAAAGGGACCTGGGGAAAGGTGGGACAGTGGAACATACTTTTGACAGGCACTCCATCAGTTTGTCACCGAAGAACCCAGTCAGAGTGGACCTGGCCTCGCTGCTTTTGGGCACCCGGAAGGATCCTGTGTAAGTTTTGTGACTACATGGGGAAAAAAAATTCAATCCTCCTAGATGCACTTCTCATGGTAATTTTTTCACACAGGTAAAATTTGTGAGGTGCACAAGTCATGATAGACACTCTCTCTCAGTTCACTCTCATCATTTACAAAATCTTGGTTGCAGTTCATTATAAAGTTATTGGCACTAACAACCTAAAATATCTAGGGATCTAAAAGTGATCTAAAATATGGTCATGCTGAATAAGGCATTAATATGTGCTTTATAATTATTAATAAACAGCCAATATGCTAGTAATATGCATGTTAATAAGCAACTAGTGAGAACTGGTCCCTAAACTAAAGTGTAACCCGATAACTGTATTTGCATCCTCACTAATGGACGATTCTTTTTATTATAAGCACACCCTGAAGGTCTGTTGCTTTAAATGCTCAAGCTCTTTTAAGTCAAGTGGATTCTGGATTCTGATTGGCTGTCAATATTTTTATCATTCATCAGCTAGAAAGAAAAACAATGATTAGTTTAGTTTTATTTTAAAAGTTGACAAGGCAGGTTATTGCAGCATAAAAAAAGTTACTTTTTCTATAGAAGCACAACCTAAAATGTGTCAAATAACATTCAAAACACCACAAATAGGTCATTTATAAAACAATTCAAAAGCATGGGGAATAAAAGAAAGCTACTTATTCACAAAGTGAGCTACAGTCAAAAAGCTGTGCAAAGGCGACAAATTGTCCTTAAGTATGTTGTACGTAAGTGAAGGTAAGTATGGTAGCCTCATCGCGCCTTTCACTTAATGAAGGGAGAGAAGTTGGGATACCTATTATCTGACAACAATGTTTTTGTACCCTCTCAACTCATCAGAGAGACCTTTAAGCAGTTCACCCCATACTGGGCTTGCATACTCAACAACTGGCCGTATGAAAGTATATTTGCATTAAACATTGCATGGGAGACCCGCTCTCTTTGCAGCACTATGATAATAAATTATTGGCTGTGACTTTGAAATCATATACTTGATGTGTGCATCCCATCACAAATCAGATGTTATTTGAACTCCAAGCAGTTTAAAAGTGGAGACTCTGCTGATTACTTGTCTCGAAATTACTGATATGATCATCTCTCCTGACACTAATTACCATATCCATGGTCTTAGCTCCACTCATTGCAAATGAGAATTCCTGTCCCCACTCTGCCACTGAGTCCAAGGCCTTCTGAGTTAGGCCAGGTAGAAGCTCAGTGATTGTTAGATCGTCAGCATATTTCACAGGATTATAGAAGGGTGCAGATGTAAATCTAAGCTGTTTATACAGATGACAAAAAGTAGAGGGGATAAAAGTCCCCCTGGGGAACACCAGCTGGAATTGGGTAAGAGTTGCACACACAGGGACCCCACTTCACCTTTTGCTCTCTGTTACTCAGATAGCTCCTTACGATGAGCCAAAAATCTGCTTCCGGCTTCGCTACCGTTCGGACGTTCTTGCTTACTGCTCTGCGCTTTGCTCCCTATTTCTGTACTTTTCTCTGATTTTTCTAAGATTTTTACTTCAGCAGATCAGCACAGTGCTCAAACAACACATTTTTGGCACAAACACTAAAACTAAAAACTCTTTGGGACTGGAATAATACCACGAAAAAGAAGACTTTGCCTCCCACTGCCAGCAGCTTACATTCCGGAGAAGGGAAAACACAGCTGCCCACATTCAACCAGAAGAGAAAGAAAATGCCTCCTGTTGAATTTACTTACTGCATGAACTGCTGCAAACTTCTACATTGCGGTTCTTGAAACAAAGTTACTTGCTGGACTTCCAAAACAGGCAGAACACTCAGCAGACCGTCGTCACGGACCCCCTCAGCATACAGCCGGTGAGTCCCATGAATCTAGTGAATCTCAACAGTTTTTACCAAGTGTAGAGGAACAAGCCGAAACTGATTGTCAAACTAATCGATGGCACAAACAGGGAGCGAGACACAAAGGCAGTAGAAAAATCAGATTGTCACGAGTTTCTCGTATTGCTGCCGTAGCATCCTCTACCCCAGATTCGGCTATGACAAGGCTTGTGAATACTGGTATTCTACCACCCCCTATACGTCTTGAGAACAGATTTGAAGCATTAATTAATGCGGGTGAGGAATCCCCAAATGTGATTAAACATGGATCGAATCAGCCAGCAGCTAACATCGCTACTAACAGGCGCTCAAGGTCGAGCAGACAGCGGCATTCAGCTCAGAGTGCAGCCATTATCAGAAACATCAGTAGCAGAAATACAACAACTTGCTGCCTTCCTCAAGCAACCGTTTCTGATATGAACAAGGAACTTCGGAAAATTCTAATGAAGCACAATACTGCAAATCGAATCATCATCCATGTGTGGAAGAATGATATTCGGAAAGAGCAGTCAGAACTCCTTAAGAAGGATACAAGAGTGCTAAAGGACATTATCTACTTCTCCCTTCATCATCCTTCAGTAGTGTGTGCCAAACTACTCAACCTGAATGGCACACACACACCTGGACAGAGTATGAGTGACAACAGGACTTCATATCAGCTTCCGAGTCATCATGTGGTTAACACATCCGACAAGGACACTGAAAACACCACGCAGCCACAACAAGCACTGCTCATGGACACCACCCCGGCTGAGCCCTGCCCACAGAGCTCATCACAGACAGACTGTGACATATCAGAACAGCTCCAAGACTCAGCACCCAAGGACGACTTTCTGGAAAACAGCCAGGGAAGCCAGGACAACATATTACCTAAGCTTCTCACAGAAAATGGAGAAACTGGTGTATGCTGGGACCAAACTCTCCCACTCATTGCACCGCTCTTGTTTAGCCTGTATATGCTCCCACTAAGTCAAATAATGAGAAAGAACCAAATTGCCTATAACAGCTATGCTGATTATACCCAGATTTACCTATCCTTATCGTGAAATGACTACAGCCCCATTGACTCCCTCTGCCAATGCATTAATGATTGCACTATATTTTATGTATAATCATTTTTTATTCTTAAAGGGGTCATATGATGCTATTTTAAAGATCATTATTTTGTGTATTTGGTTAACAGAATATGTTGACATGCATGTTTTTAATGTTAAAAAAACACATTACTTTTCAAATACTGTACATTATTGTAGGTCCTCTATGCCCCGCCTCTCTCAAACACGTCGTTTTCAACAAAAAGAGCTTGTAACACTCCAAAGAGAAAGGAAAACTTGAAATCGCATCATATGACCCCTTTAACTGTTTTAAATTCATTTTAAACCTCTTAAATCAATTGTTAAATCATTTTCAAAGTTTTTAAATTCCTTGTTTTATTGTTGTGATAATTTTTTTTATTATTATTTTCTTTTCTTTTATGTAAAGCACTTTGAATTACCATTGTGTATGAAATGTGCTATATAAATAAACTTGCCTTGCCTTGCCAAAGGGGGCGCCGGACATACATATCAGCCAGAGCATAAAGTAACTGACATGTTGTGTCAAAAGCTCGAGTAAAATCAACAAAAACAGCATGAATGTCCATTTTGGTATTATTAAGTGCTTCATGCCATATTGTAGGTTCTGATTCAGAGCACTGTCAGTTGATCTGTTCGCCATGAAGCCATGTTGTGATGGAGCAATCTTGGTGACTGTATCCTCCAGATTGTCCAGAATGGCATCTCTGAGGATTGCTTCATACACTTTTCCAACACAGCTGATTAATGAAATCTGGAGGTAATCTGCTGGAAAACTGGGTTTTTTTGGAATAGCTTTAACCATATAGCCTCCTTCCACTGATTTGGAAAAAAAGTTATGTTGAATGCATGTGTTAAAGATATCACATAACACAGGTGCCAGTTCTTCATGAAAGGTCTTTAAGACCCACGGAGGAATGCAATCAGGACCAGCAGCTTTCACGGCATTCACTTTGCGGAGTCTAGCTTTAACTTGCCCAATACTCAGAGGAGGTATTCGACCATCTGACAGCTTATGGACAACATCTTCCTCAGAGGAGAAGTGTGGATAACTTGATCCCATACGGAAGCAAAATGCTTAGCCAAAGTGTCACACTCATGTTGCAAGATGTTATAATCCTGAGACCTCACATCTCTCCTGTCTTCTTCCATCCCCATCAGTGCCTTTACAGACTTAAACCACTGCTTTGGCTTGGTGCAGCGTAGTTCCTCCACCTTGTTCTTGTAATATTGAATCTTTGCTGTCTTAATTTTTTTTGGCAACAACTGATTTTTAATTTGTATAGTGAGTTTTGTTACCAGAGCAGAATGCACGTTGTCTCGCTTTTATTCAATCTTTAATTTGTATGGTATGTCTTGTCATTTTTAGTAATTGAAACTTTCTTAAATGGAACATTTTTGTCCAGAATAGACATAATAGTGGAAGTAAAGGCACTAACCTTAACCTCAGGGTCAGTAGCCTCATAAATGTGAGAAAAGTACTATTCATGAGAAGGCCCAGTTGTCTGTTTGGCTCAGGAGTACATTTTCTGCAGAAGATGTGTTGAATGGACTTAGGCCCAATCCCAATTCTATTTTATACCCCTTCCCCTTCCCCTAACCCTCCGCCTACCCCTTCCCCTTGTCCCTTGAAACAGAGTGTCAACGGGTAGGGGTGAAAATATTCCCCTAAGAATTGGGACACCACTACTATACGTCACACATCATCATACGTCATCTAGCTCCTACAATACACACACCTATACTTGTGTACTGGTGTGTGCATTAGAGCCTTTGATTACCGTTCTATATTAATGCGCTGCTTACTGACACACACACACGCACATATATATCGGAGATCGCGACATCCAGGAGCAAAGAAACTTGTCAACGCTGCCCCACGACTTTTATTAATAACAGTTTAAATACTGAATTGCTACATTATATTTTCCAGCAACAAGAGGATAAAATCACTGTTTTTGAAGTAAACTGACTCTAAAAAGAGAAACACACAGACCCGCATACATGCAACTTTCATCTCTCTGTCTCTCTCTCTCTCTCTCTCTCGAATTGGCAATATTTGAGAAAAGGGTTTAGCGATTTGTAATTATTGGGGGTACTAGCCCTCCTCAATGTCTATGGTGGTTATCGCCCTGATCAGACATGAAAATATGTTGTGGCACTGTCGTGCAGTCTGTAATGATATGACGTTAGCAAACTTTAGCGATTTTTTGCAAACATTTCTTTGAGTAACATGACCGTAAATATGAACTCACGATTGAATGTAACATAAAACAAATTATGACTTTTCGTTAAAATCTTTATTAATGCCAAAAATGCTTACATTTATGTGTCTTTTTGTTCGCTCGGCCAGCCATGTTGTCATCTCTCTCTCTCTCTCTCTCTCTCTCTCTCGCTCTCTCTCGAATTGGCGATATTTGAGAAAAGGGTTTAGCGATTTGTAATTATTGGGGGTACTAGCCCTCCTCAATGTCTATGGTGGTTATCGCCCTGATCAGACATGAAAATATGTTGTGGCACTGTCGTGCAGTCTGTAATGATATGACGTTAGCAAACTTTAGCGATTTTTTGCAAACATTTCTTTGAGTAACATGACCGTAAATATGAACTCACGATTGAATGTAACATAAAACAAATGATTACTTTGTTAAAATCTTTATTAATGCCAAAAATGCTTACATTTATGTGTCTTTTTGTTCGCTCGGCCAGCCATGTTGCCGCTGTAGCCGGTTTACGCTGAGATAATTAATTCCCCTTCGTTTGAAGTGTGGTCCCGAAAAATCTTCGTTTGAAGGGCTATCTGTCCCTTCCCCTACCCCTATCCCTCCAACCAAAAGAGAATCGAGACACCTCTACCCCTTCACGTGAACGCACAAAATGGAGGGGTAGGGGAAAGGGGAAGGGGTAGAATTGGGATTGGGCCTTAGAATGTCATTTACCAGCATTCATCATGAAGGTCATGAAGTGCTCAGGTGACTCATACATAAATGAAATGTTGGTAAAAATTGAGTCAAGTTGATTGGCCTTTCTTGATGCTCCTGACACTACCTGTTTCAGTCTATGTCTGTTACACATGGTTTCAGACTTGTACCTATGTGTCTCCAAGTATGACAATTTGCAGCTTGCTGGTAGTTACATTCAATGTTCCTAAGGCAAACATACAAGTATTGTGTAGCAGAGGTGTAAAGAGTACCTAAAAACCATACTTGAGTAAAAGCCTTAGAGTATCTGATTTTAACAGTACTTAAGTATTTTACTTATACTAAATATAGGCTCAAAAAATGCACTCATCAAAGAGACATGCCAGTGAAAAACTAATGTTGTGGAGAAGCTGGGGGAAAAGGCAGAGGCAAGGATCTATGTGCAGGTATTTAAAGGTGCCATAAAATGCATTGATACAATATTTTAAATTGTTCTCTGATATCTACATAGAAGGTATGTGGCTTAGGTAAGGGCAACAAATCTCCAGAAACGATTTTACATGTCCATTTACAACCTTAGGATTTGTCCCTAGAATGAAATGGTCTGTTTTTACCTTATTTGGAAGGGTCATGAATAATAATGTTGAGCTCTGCTCTGATTGGCTGTTTCACAGTGCGGCTCAATGTTGAGCTCTGCTCTGATTGGCTGTTTCACAGTGCGGCTCATTTCAATATCTCACACAGCAGGAAGGAAACAAAGGGAAAATATATATTTCAATACTGTCTCTCGCAGTTATATCGTTGGGTAATTATACTGTCTATAAAATGTGGGCATCAGGGAGCTGCATAATGCACGATCGCTTTTTACTTTCACTTTCGAGATTTGCGATCGCACGTGATCTGTGTAAACTACAGCGGCAGTACTTACCACACATTTTACAAGATCAGATGCTTGTCAGTGGTGCTCAGGATCTGTAAATCATTTGCCTTTATCCTCAGTCATCTCTCCTTACTCTGTTTATGTGGTAAGTGAAATCTTATGTCCTGTGATGTAACAGGCTACTGCTAGAAAGCAGCTAACCATGTCCCTTTAGTGGCTCACATTATTTTATTAGAACGTGTTATTTGTTTTCCGTGCCTTTCTGAATACAGACACCAACCCATCCCTGCACATCACATCCCCTGCACAGCCTGGAACATAACATTTATTTC